AAACAAGTAAAAATAGATATATATATATATATATATATATATATATATATATATATATTCGTATGGCTGAACATCTTGTAGGTATATAAGCATATATATTCCTTTCATATAACTATAAGTGTGTGTATATATATATATATTTCCAATTTTATAAGTTTTTGAAAGGGCTGTCAATAAAAGTCTTAATGTTCGCTCAACTCCTCCTTGATGGTAACCATCGTACCAAATGTTTTTATCATTCCAAGCCAAAGAAACCATCTTCCCTAACTAAACCATGACTGTATATATCTAATTACAACATGATTAGGACAACTAATGTAACCGAGATAATTTTGTTCAGTTCTTTTTGTTGATTGCCTTTATAAATAATTAATTGTATATATAATTTAATTCCATCTATCATGAAATATAAAATATAATCTTATCTAGACAATTGGTGAGATCAATAATAGGAACGAAGAGAGAGAGAGAGAGAATATTGATCTCTTTGTTTCTGTTCATGATCAACTCACAGAACACGTAAATCTTAAAATCGGGAATAAATTATATTACCGAACACGTAAATATTAAAATTTGTTACGAAAAGCCCGGTTAGTTGAGTTTGTCCCAAATGGTTACAATATTAGATTATTTTGTTATTATATTAAAAAAAAAAAAGAGATTCGGTTAACTAATAAATAGATAGGAATTGGTTACTTTATTTATTAAAAAACCGAGGTGGTTCACCCAAGAAATAAGGAGAGGAAAAAATAAATCTCCCCTTTTTTAATTGCAAAGATAGTTATTAGGTTTATGTATTCTATTTCATTTTATCGAATAAAAATTATAATTGAGGAGGGTTGTTACAGATGCTATAAAACAACTTCCATATGATTAGTGATAGCTTATTTTCGTCATGGCGATTTATTAGTGCTAATTAGTTAGTCTTTTCCCTTTTTTTTTTAATCGTCACTAATATGAAGATATCATATTACCAATTTACCATGCATGCTTGGTCATAGTAATCGTAGTTTAACAGTATAATGTCCATGCAATTCCCAAAACATACGTATACTTATGTGTGTACGTACATATATGTGTACATATACGCACTGTTTTCGTGTGTAATATATATATATATATATATATGTGTGTGTGTACAGTTGGATATATGCACGATAATGAGCATTGTTCGTATATATATATATATATAAATATAATATGACAGTCTCATTTGGAACGTCTAGGTAGCACATGGTCTAGAGATTAAATACGATTCGCATTTGTCTCGTAACTTAGGAAGTTAGTGATATGACATTCTCAAATTCCAATAATTTTACGGTTCCCAAAAATTCCAACTAATAATTGCATAATATTCTCCATGTATAATGGACATAAAATTTAATTTTTAAACTAACTTCAAATAATATCACATAATGTAAGAGCGAAAGCATGGACCCAATGATCTGTCTCATTTCACTGTCATCACCGTATAAATAATTCGAAATATTTAAATTTGAAATGATAATCAAAGTCATCGTATAAATATTTATTAATGGCGAATAAATCACTTGAACAAAGAAAGACGTTCCGAGATATTAACTACACACACATAGCCACACAAATATTTTTTATTTTAAAAGCCTTACATATATGTATCTTACCATAACTATATATATATATATATATATATGTAAGTTAGTGATATTGAAACTTTTTTAACCCTCCAATTCCAAGTTGACAATACAGCCCATCCATATCTTACGGATATAATTGAAAATTGAATCCGATAATGTTATTTATAAAACGATTTATTGCTCAGATATTAACATAATGGTGTATAATATCATTGGCCTGGTCAACATACGACTTCGGGAACGTACAAACAAATTATGCGTATAATATAAAGTATGATGGGAATGATAGGAGGGTTATGCTCTCTTATTGGCTTCTTTCAGTTTTTATATTAATAACTTTTTCATTATTATTAAATGAAATATTTAAATCGATCGTCGGATACTCTCAATGCTGACAGAGAGATTTTGCAAGGCCAAAACCATAGTCTATATTATTATACACAAAATTTAAATTCGTATTTCTATGTTGCCATAAGTCAAATTCGATATAATAGAGCTACAAGCATTTCAAATACTATACAAAATTATCCATCCGTTATAACGACACGTAATTAATATTCACATGTTGTATCATAGACTAAAACTTAAACATGTCCCCACGTGAACATTTTGAATGACCCGACTTGTGAATTTGTGATAACGGGAAACTGTTCATAATAAATAGGATATTGAAAAAATACCCCGACGCAGCAATCTCAATGCTTGGTGGATTGAGAATATTGGACCGGCGAAAGTTGGAATATTAAGTGGACCCCACAAGACGTGAGAGGGATCAGATCCACGTGGCAGATGTTGAGACGTCCTTTTAATCCTACGTGTCAGTATATGCCAGCATGTCAAGTGGAATCCAGCTGGCGTCCATCGGGATAAAGAGTTGGATGTGCCAACTGCCAGACAAGTTTATTAAAATTCCTTCCTATAGAGTCACATATCAAATGTTGTATTTCAACATTAAAACTTTGTAAGATTCCTTATATAAATATCATATTTTTTTAGACAAAAAGTATATACATAATTTATATGGTATAAGAATATTTTTTTTTTTTTAAATGCATCATATTAACTGAAATGGGTTTGATTTAATATTTATATAGAATAAATAGTTTTAAACTAATTTAAATCTGTATAATTATCCAATGGTCTAATAGTAAAAGAATGTACAAAATATTTTCTTATCCCGACTCAAATTCAAAACGTGGAGAGGTATATTCATAATTTCTCAATCTTCTAAAAGATATAATTAGATTAAAGAACTTGTAAATCTCAGAATTATTAAAAAAATCTGTATGATTTACTTGTCCAACCTAACAGGTTTCGGCTTACTAGATTTAAGATAATCAACCTTTTTTTTTTGGGAAATGTAAGTTAGATACTGGAAAATTCAGAAAATGTGATGACGTCATGCCGTAAGTATAAAAAAATGCAACATCATGGGGCCCACGAACACGAGGAAATTCAACAAGCTGGCACTCGTTTTTTTATATGACAATTACCCATCAAACTCTTGTGATCGAAAAGGAAAAATTAATCCACATTCTTCAAAAATCGCTGTGGACTGCCCCTCTCTCTCTCTCTCTCTCTCTCTCTCTCTCTCTAAGAACGCGTCTCAGAACTTCGCGTTCTTCGCAAAGACGGAGAGGACACTAGAAAAATCCTCTTAAAGCTCTTCGCATCTCCTTCGACGATCCGTAAAGTTTATTACTGTTCATCGTTTCTTTCGTTTCTCTGCAATGGCGATGCCGAAGAGCGGCAACAGCAAGAAGAACGTTTCGTACATCTCCGTTCCGTCGCAGATTATAAACTCTTTGTCCTCTTCCTCGTTGCAATCTCTTCTTGTCTCACCCAAGAAATCCTCCAGATGCTCCAACAAGTTCAACCTCTCTTTCAGAAACCCCAGGCTCTGGTCCTTGTCTCTGTTTCTCGTCTCCGTCTTCGGAATGTTGAAGCTCGGTTTCAACGTTGACCCTTTTACGCGGTACCCGTGTTCCACGAATCAACCAGGAAGCTTCGACAGGGAAAAAGGCGTCGAATCCCATCTGGATTTTTCCCATAACGCCGAAAAGAATGGAACAGAACGGGATACTTCAGATGGGCATTCGAAATCGGAGACGAGATTTCAATCGGAGAGTGGAAAGAACGAATCTTTGTTGGCTCCTTCGCTGTCGCCGAAGGAGGAGGAGAGTGATTTCTGGAGACAGCCTGACGGGATGGGGTACAAGCCCTGCTTGGGATTCAGCACTCAGTACAAGAGAGAAAGCTCGACGATTCTGAAGAACAGATGGAAGTATCTGCTCGTTGTGGTTTCTGGTGGGATGAATCAGCAGAGGAATCAGATTGTTGATGCCATTGTCATCGCTAGGATCCTCGGCGCTTCACTCGTTGTTCCCGTTTTGCAGGTTAACGTCATCTGGGGAGACGAAAGGTAAATGAAAAGTCTCTGCTTTAACTTGTCAAAGGTTTGTTCAGAAGCAAAGTCATGAACTTTCTTATACCCGCGTTCGATTCCTACATCGTAATAGTGCTTGTCTTAATGCAATGTTGCAAGGTTCAGGAGCTTAAAATCTGTCTTGTTTTCCCCAATGTTTTTGTGCAGTGAATTCGCTGATATATTTGATTTGGACCATTTCAAGAGGGTTCTCTCAGATGATGTCCATGTAGTTTCATCACTGCCTTCAACACATGTAATGACGAGGCCTGTGGAAGAGAAGAGGACCCCCCTCCATGCTTCCCCTGAATGGATTCGATCACATTACCTCAAGAGGGTAAAATTGCTTTAATGTTTTACCTAATGGTAGTCACATTGTGTGTTTTTTTTACTGAATAGCTAATAGTGTTTCCTCTGTTATTTCAGATTAACCGTGAAAGAGGTCGACAGTT